TTTCGAATTCAAAGCTAAACGGGAAGGAGATAATCCTGCTTACAACTGGATAACTATTGGTCTTGAAAATATCAATAAAGCTTTGATTAATTTGCTTCCAGTTTATGGAATAATTGAAAACGAAAGATGTGAAGTATTTAAACTTGAAGATTTTTGTTGGAATGATGAAGATATTTTCGGTTGCGGATTAGTTTATCCACCAACTGATAAATCACCTAAAAAGTTACCTTATATTTTCTTTACTCAAAATGGAAACCAAATTGGTTAGTAAAATTTTAGTCTAAATGATTCTAGTTATTTTTAAGGTAAAGCAGTATTATTGAAAGATAATTATGACACTTATGAGCTAGTTATTTGGATAAGATGTTGTTCTGTAGAAGCAAATTTTGGAAATAATTTGGAAACTAAGCCTTTTTGTTATGACATTACAAAACATTTTGTGATTAAAGAATTTTATGAAGACTCTGATGTTGATTGAATGGAAATGACGTGGAAAATCTTTTTTAAATATATTTGTTGTTTTTGAATAATTTGTTTTATAAGAGTTTGCCGGATAAAACAGTATACGTATTTTCTATATATTATCAAAGTTAGATGAATAATGCAAAGTTTAGACCAAGACGATTTGTGTTAAAATTATAAAGTTTTTCACTTTTTAATGGATAATTGATATATAAATACTGTCCTATTAAATTTGACTTAAAACGGATCGGCATTGTACTTTTCAAAGTAATAAAATAAAACTTGATACAATAATTCAGAAATTGTACAATATTATAACCTTATATGTATAATAGGGTAGCACCCCTAGCTTTCGGGCCTACATAAAATATTTAATACCGTAAATGTTGAAATAATTATCCTCTCTAATAATTACTCACTATTTTTTCTACTAGCTTTAAGAATATTTTACTTGGGAAATTCATTGTGAAAGACCACTATAGAGCTGGAATTACCGTGGCTGTTGGCGTGTCCGGAAATTTGGGGAGTGGACACTTGGGGAGTGGACATTTGGGGAGTAGATAATTGGGGAGTGAGCGGACAATTGGGGAGTGGACATTTGGGGAGTAGATAATTGGGGAGTGAGCGGACAATTGGGGAGTGGACATTTGGGGAGTAGCCTAACGATAAAAATACAATAGAATATTAAATAGTCCCTATATATATGTAGAAAATAATTAAATTTAGAAAATAATTAAAATTATTCGACTCAGCTCGAGGAGCTATTTCGAATGAGCTATTACTTGCATTTTCGAATTCTTCACCCCAAAATCGAGCTTACTCCCCCACCCTATGGGTTTTCAATTTTTAGGAACCTATAACTCGGTCCAGAATCATTTATGAAATTGGGAGTGGTACCGTTCGACTCAATTCGCCGAGATAAATCGAATGACATATGTCACGCCCCAAACTTTTACCTCCGGTGAACTATCCTATATCCATTTTTTAAATACAAAAGCAAGAAAAACTATTTAATATTCTACTATTTAATATTCTACTTCCATTTTTAGCGCCACAGGAAAATACCGAAATACCGAAAAATACCGCGGTATTTTGATCGAGGCCGTATCGGTATCGGTATTTTGGTAAAATACCGATACCGAAAAAATACCGATTTTTTAAAAATGTGAAGTATCGGTTTCGGTATCGGTATTTCGGTAAAAAATACCGCGGTATTACCGAAAAATACCGCGGTAATACCGTACCGTGAATAACACTAGTACATATCAGGGTTGCCGCGGGTACAAAAAATCTTCGGGTACGGGTTTCGGGTATCGGGTTGGAGCGTTTTGATTTCGGGTCACGGGTTTCGGGTTGGCAAAAATATCGGGTACGGGTTTCGGGTTTGGCGAAATATCGGGTTATTTTCGGGTGTTCAGGTATTGGTGAACTAAATTGTAATGAGACAATCTATGTTGCATAATAGGATTTCGGTGATATAGAGAGAGGCAAATTTGAAGAGATTAAAGAGACATTGTGGGATTTTGGGATTAAGAGGGATATCTTGATAACATCCCACTATATACTAATATCCTTCCGCTTTATCTTCATTAAAGCCTCCAATTTTCTCCAATTTTCAGCGCCGCAGGCGAAAATTTTGAGAATTTTTAAGGCCAAGAAGCCAAATTTCTTCACTTTTTTGCGCCGCAGGCGAAAATTTTGAGAATTTTAATGATCCGTAAGCCAGATTTCTAGCTTTTTCACCGCCGGAGGCGAAAATTTTGAGAATTTTGAAAGACTTAAAAGAAAAAATTCAATTGTCCGAACTGCAGGCAAAAAATTTAGGTAATTTTTCGTTATCCCTACCCCCTTTCTGCGGACTTTTTTTTGCGGAGTTTAGTTGGTCATGAAGCCAGAACTCTTAATCTTATGCGCCGCAGGCGAAAATTTTGCAAAATTCATGACTAAATTAAAATTTTTAATGCTTTTTCAAGCTTAAAATATTAAAAAAAATAAATTTAAAAATCTAAAATGAAAATCAAAGTTTAAAAACCTTTATTTTTGAAAAGAAAAATTTTTTAGGCCTCACTTCCAGACCTGGGCTCGAACCGACCTCTATTAAAATATATAGCCAGTCGCCTTACCCGTTCAGCCACCGATCAACATAATCCAAATATGGATTAAATTATAAATATTCCTTTCCCTTTTCCTTTCTATAATTTTTAAAATTTATTTTAAAAAATCGGGTAAGGCTAAGTTTTCGGGTAGAAATTTCGGGTTTTAACCAATTTCGGGTCACGGGTTTCGGGTTGGAAAAAATATCGGGTACGGGTTTCGGGTTTCGGGTACAAAAAAAGGCCTGGTTTCGGGTATCGGGTTTCGGGTTTCGGGCGGCAACCCTGTTACATATTATACTTTTATCGTTAGGCTACTGCCCAAATGTCCACTCCCCAATTGTCCGCTCACTCCCCATTTATCTACTCCCCAAATGTCCACTCCCCAAGTTCCACCCACCAAATTTCCGGGAGCCGCTGTTGGGAACTACACCGCAAAATTGCATGTCAAGCTATCATCCGAGGTGTAACTTAATCTAATACAAAAGTATTGAGTTTGAAAAACTTTTAGTTTGTCTAAGAATCTAGTTTTCTACATTAAAACTCGGACATAAAAAATTTTCATAAAACTGTTACAATAAGTTTGCTAAAAGATACACTTTTTATTTAATTAAAAATTCATATTTTGTTTAACATTAGCTAACTATTGTGAATTATTTTATAGTTAGAGCTTTTTATTATTTTACAAAAATTAGAAAATCCTTCTTAATAACAACAAGTAGCCCAGTTTGGATTTTTTGATGACATTTAAGAAGAAGCTGGACATCTTGGGCAACGTGGATTTTTACATTTTTGCGTGCGAATGTTGTAGTTGTAGCATCTTGCTCTTTTAACACGAAATTGTTTTGGCCTAAGATAAATAAATTTATGATATCGATATTAGATCTGGCCCATATTTTCGGAAATTACTGAGGTACTTAGGGAGAGTACTTTTGTAATTTTGTGAAGTACCTAGTGAATTCCCTGAGGTAGCTTATATTATTTCCGTAAATGCATGACCCCATATCTAATTATAAAATACCTGATCAACAGCAACGAAAGGAGCAGGTGGAGGTGCCAAATCCACAATTTGTGCAATTAAAGCAACTACGAATAAAAAGCAAAGAGTTGAAGAATACATTTTTATTTTAGTATTTTTCGGGGCTTTAAGATTAGAATTTAAAAATATTTATGTTTATTATGTTCGGATTATTCTTTTATTTATAAGACTTTAATCAGCTTTTTTTCAAGCAAAATTAAAAATAAGTTGTATTTTTACTAAGATACATATTTAGTAAAATTTTCCTTTTCTTACTAAGGCATTACTTTTCCAGACTTATTATCCACCGTTAAATTTAAATAATTAAAAATTTCTGTCATTATATACATATTTTATTTAACAATATTTGTCTTTCTTTATTCAAATACAGGCAAAAAATAACACGTCATCTTAATAATAGCGTCATTAAAGATGAACCAATAGTTTGATGTTGATTGTAATATTGTTATTGAATTGCTCTTAATATTCTGACTTTTTCATTTAAATTTTTTAATTTTTACATTAAATAAATAATATTTTAATTTTTCATGGTTGTTTTATTTTTATTTCCCGAAATTTATTTTTATGGCATAATTATTTAGAAAATTTTAAAATATTTTACAAACAATTTTTGGCTCTTGTCCAGTTTATGCGTCCCATGAAAGTATATGCGTCCCATCAACAAAAAATTGGATATTTCTTGGTGTTGCAAAGTAGGGGTATGGTTCCAAAGCATTTCTTCATGTTTGGGATCTAGGTCCACTGGGTCTGGGACCGTTCCTCACCCTATCCTTCGAAATTTCTGAAAGTTATAGCCAATTTTTAAAAATTTCAGAAAAACGATTTTAACTTTCAGAAATTTCGAGGTATAGGGTAAGGAACGGTCCCAGACCCAGTGGACGTAGATCCCGAACATGAAGAAATGCTTTGGAACCATACCCCTACTTTGCAACACCAAGAAATATTCAATTTTTTGTTGATGGGACGCATATACTTTCATGGGACGCATAAACTGGACAAGAGCCCAATTTTTCAATCAGTCCGCAATCAAGATAGAAGTTAAGGAAATTGGCGCTGTACAACAAAAAAGATATCGTGCATACAGGTTTATCTATCCGGTCTCTCTCCGAAGGCGCTTATCTAAATCGAAGCAAATCTTTAACCTTCTTTGTGATTGAGGAAAGATGAAAACTCTGACAATTTTTAATTGAGTGGGTATACTACGAACTTCAATTTTACCGTTTTAACTAAATTCTTTTAAAAATTAATTGAGTCTTTAAGATAATCAACGAGTGGTAAATTTTTCTTGTTTATATCTATTGAGCGATTATTTAATAAACCAAGAAAATATAATTTATTTAAAATTAATTGATCAAAAGTAGATAAATTAGGCGAGTAAGATTAAAACAAAATCAATAAAAACAGCTTCAGTAAAATTCTTTAAGAATTGAATGCTTTGAAATGTCATATTTAAATGGTTTCGTCTCCAAATTATTTCCAAAATTAGCATCAACAGAACAACATTTTAGATAAACAAATGGCTTATATGAATCAGAATTGTCCAATAATACACCTTTACCTTTAAAAACAGTTTTCTAAAAGTGATTTTAATTAAATAATTACCAATTTGTTTCCCATTCTTTGTGAAGAAAACATGAGGAAACTCTTTATCAAACTTATTAATTGGTGGATAAACTAATCCACAACCAAAAATATCTTCATTTTTGAAAGAAATATTGTCAGTTTCAAATTCTTCCTCTTTTACGTTATAAATTGTAGCTGTGTTCGCAGAATAATAAATAAATTTAATTGGGTTGAAATGTTTAAGACCAATATGCATATATACTTTGCCACTATTTAACTCTTTTTGATATTTACATTTAACCTCAAAATAATATAAAGAATGCTTAAGACAATTTTGTGGTTTGTCGAATGAATTTTCTGCGTCAACATAAACTTCTTTATTAGAATCTAAAAATATTTAATAAAAATTAAAATTCAAAAATTAAAAGATATACGTTTTTTTCTTTCTAAACAATTAATATATTTAATATTTTCATCATTAATTATATTTATAAATCCATTTTCCAAAATACAACAACCAATAGGGGTTCTTGTATTTATGCAGTACTTGTCACAACATCTACCACTAATTTGTTTCCATTTATTTTTAATTCTAACAAAATCCTTTTAAAAATTATTTAATAATTTAATTATGCATGACAACTAACCACACAATTAAAGTTGTTCATTTTAATTGTTAAATCACTAATCTTTTTATCAAATAGCTCATTTGCCTTTTTATATAAATTAAAATTTTTGATTTGAAATTAACAAAAAATATTGGTAATAGTTTATTATTTGCTCCCCTCTTTTTTTCACCGTTTCCCTGACCATTTTGAGTTTTTTCGTTTGATACATAATTTATCATATATCATTCGAAAGAGCTCTTCGATGGCGAATTCCAAACTATTACCAAAATATTTTTAAATGAACATAACATAATTTAAATTTTTAATAAAAAATATTATTTTAATTTAATATCTTCGTGTCGACGCAAATAATCGTTCAAACTAAACTACGTTTTACCAAAAATATTTGTTAAAAATAAGTTCCTAAAAGTCTGTAAATAAACCTTAAGTATTTTAAAACCACCCACAAAATTTTTTTAATCTTTTATTTTTATTTACCTTTTGAATTTTTAATTCCAAAAAATTAATTTTTTCATCTTTTTGTTTTAAGTAAACATCATTTTCAGCTTTTAATTTTTTATTATTTTCTTCAATTAATTGATGAAAATTTAGTTTTAAATTTTTAATTTCATTTTCATGTTCCTTTTGAAGTTTCAAATTATTATGTTCCAAAGTTAAATCATTAATTTTCAATTTCAACTAGAATATAGTAAATTTATTTTTAAGTACAGTAGTCTCTCACTTGTACAACATCTTTGTCCGGATAACAAAGGTGAAAGTGTCATACAAATGAGATCCGACTGAAGCAATTCAATAAAAAATATTTTTTACCTCAACGTTTTCCAAACGTTGTTTTAAACTTTCAATTATATTTTGTGAACAAGAAGCACAAGCATTTAATTTTCCTTCTTCAGTCATTTTCTTTAAGGATTTTTTAAAAATATTTTAAAAGAAAAAATTTTTATTTAAATTAAATTTAAACAAAAAATTAAAATTTAATTAAAAATTTATTTTAAAATAAAGAGGATCTTCTACACAAATTTAAATTAATTTAATAGTTAAAAATTTTCTACAATTTGGCAAGTTTTTCTTGCCAAAGATAAATCTTGTTTTATTTCTCTTAGACAAGAATTGAGACAAAAAACATACCTTTCCAAGTTTTAAATTACTAATTTGCAAAGATTGATCATTAATTTTCAACGTCAACTAAAATGTAAATTTATTTTTAAACAAGTTGGATTCACTTGTACGACACTTCGCGCATAAAAGCTGGACGGGAAAATGAAAGTATCGTACAGGTGAGATCGAGCTGAATTATTAAACAATAAATTTTAACCTCTAATTTCTCAATACGTTGCTTCAAAATTTCAATTAAATATTTTGATGAACAACGAGAACCACAAGAAGAGGACAAACCATCAATACTAGAAGTTCCCAAAATTTCATTGAATTCGTTAAAGTATTTGTTTTTTAGTTCCTCTGAAAGTATGTTATCTCCCATTTTATTTTTAATATTATCATCATTCTCTAATTGTTTTGGTGTTTTCATTTTAATTTTTTAAAAAGAATTTCTGAAAATAATTTCTGACAAATTTTTCTCACATTGTCAAATTATGACAAAAAATTAACGATTCTCAAAAATTCAGTTTTTCAATTACGGGCCATAGATATAAAGTTAATAATTATCACTATTAATGGATTTTTATCAGCAAATCAATTAAAGTGTATGTATTTATTAAGAATTATTTTAAAACAAAAATAATGAAAAATAAAATATAATTAAAAGTTTAAGTATTTAGATATTTTAAATTAATATATAAAATGGAAAAAGAGAAGTTTATGAAGGAGAAGTTTTCTTTAAAAGTATAAAGGGGAATTTACATCTATTTGACCCAGACAATTTATTGGCAAAATATCGTCGTTTTCTATAAAATATTTGAAAAAAATTATGTCAACCCAAAATGTAATGAAGCAAAATAAAATAAAAAATTAATTTTTAGGGAAATAAAGGAAATACCTGAGCATATTTAATAAATTATTTGAATTTAAGTAGTATTTTTGGAAAAATAATCGAATTTATGACCCGTATTTTTAGAAAATAATCAGAAATCTTCAAAAATCAAATTGATTTTTTAAAATATTCCCTCAACATATAAATTAATAATTATTATTTTTTCCTTCCTCATTTTTCCCAACATATACTATTCACAACAAAACAGTCTCTGAGCAAAATTTTCTTCACTAATAAATATTTATGTACTTTTATATTTTTTAATTCAATTACTTAGTTAACCTTTCTTCATAAATTTTTAAGATGCCCATTTCATAGACGACTTGATTTTTTAATTCATTTTTAAATCGAATTAAATTAGATTTTAATTTTTTACAATAAAATTAAAATATACGTAAATTTAAGAATATTTATTTTATTAAATTTTTTAAATAAAATTCATTTGTTTTTATTTTAAATAATTTAATTAAAAACGTTTAAAAAATGGCGGAAGAAGGAGTATCAACAAATTCTGATTGGATTTTGGTTGAAAAAGAGAAAAATGATTTTGAAAAACTTGAAACTAATAGTGACAATCTTCAAAAAAGTTGGCTTAAAGAGAAGGAAAAGAGTGGTAATTTAGAAAAGGAAAATAATTTTCTTGAAAATCAATTGAAGGAAATGAATAAAGTTCGGATATTTTTTATTGAATATTTTAAAATAATTTTTAGAAAATTGAAAAAATAGATTCTGACCATAAAAATGAAATTAAAGAAATGAAGGAGGAATTTCAAAAATTAGTTGATAAATTTCAACAATTAAAAGATGAAAATGATCAAAAAGACGAAAAAATTAATTCGTTGGGAGGAGAAATTAATAAGGTACATTCATATTAATTTTTAAGAACAGAGTTTTCAAAATAAAAATTTTTTGGTACTTTTCCGTTCTCTACTGACTTTTTGCTGATAATTAGGGAACCAAATCTATGGGGCGTCGGCGAGGCAATTGTGCGGCATGCGCCTCGCGGGGAGTCAAAATTCGCTTGGTTCTGGGTCAGTAACATAGACCTATTCCTATCTCCCTAATCCGAAATTAAAGATGCTCATTTAGGAAATATTTGTTAAATTAAAAAAATCATTTTAATAATAATTAAATAGGCTAATGGTCTGTTTGAGAAGCAGATTGGCGATTTAACAATTAAGTTGAATAATGTAGTTTTTAAATGTGTGGTTAGTTTGTAATTATAATAACCTTAATTATTAAATATTTTCTTGAAAGGAGTTGTTTTCTTGAAAGGAGTTGTTTTCTTGAAAGGAGTCACTCTGCAAAATTCCCGAATTTTTGGATCGGTTACCAGTAATATAAGATACATACTGGAATTTAACTTAGATAAATTTATTAGAAAATTTTTTAATTTTTAAATCAATAATTAATTTTAAAATTAACTTTTTATTTGACAAAAAGATTGGTGATCTAATTAAATCAAGTAACTTGAATTGCATATACGTGGTCAGTTTATAATTAAATTCTAAAATTTTACAGAAATTTTTTTGAAGAATTTTGTTGAAATTAAAAATGAATGGAGTGAAATTTACAACGGATTCAGATGTTGTGACAAAAATTGTATAAATACAAACAAACCTATTGGTAATTGTATTAAAGGCAACGGATTTGTAAATATAATTAATGATGAAAATATTAAATATATTAATTGTTTGGAAGGAGGTAGTTTATTATAACCAGTGATATCAAAGTTCCAGTTCCGGAACTAATTAGTTCCAGTTCCGGAACTAGAACAACGGAACTAACGATTATCTGGAACTAGTTTGGAACTAGAACTACGGAATTAGTGAACGCCTGGAACTAGCTTGGAACTGGAACTAGCTTTGGACTAGTTCTTGGGGTATATTTTTGACAAAATTTCCTCGACGAAGTTTTTTTCCGAAGTTTCGAAGTTTCCTCGACCCGTAAAAAATTTTGAAGAAAATCCCGTTGCGAGATCCCATGAATGCGATTTTGCCGCACACGAAATGATTTTTTAAATACTACTTGGAACTAGTTCCAGAACTGAAACTAAGGAATTTAAAAAATGGAGTTCGGGAACTGGAACTACAAAAATTAAAAACCTGGTTCTGGAACTGGAACTAGTTCCAGAGAAATTTTGGAACTTTGACATCACTGAATATAACATAAGTTTTTCAATTTTTTTATTTTTAGGTTCTGATAATCTTTTTGCTGTTTTTGCAGAAAATGCATTTATAAAACCACAAAACTGTTTTAATTATACATTTTATTATTTTGAAATTAAATGTAAATTTGAAAGAGAGGTGATTAAAGGTTTAAATTGGATGAATATTAGTCTTGCATGTTGTGGTCAAACTAAACATAATAAATTTGCCGCAAAAACTAGTACAATTTATAACGAGGAAAAGAAATACAAACTTTCAACAGTTATCAATAATAATGATATATTTGGTTGTGGATTAGTTTATCCTCCAACTAACAAAATGAATTACAAACTTCCGTATATTTTCTTTACTCATAATGGAAAACAAATTGGTAAATAATTAATTAAAAAATATTTCTAAACTTTTTTTAAAGGTAAAGGTATATTAGTACAGAACAATTCTTGCTCATATTTACCATGTGTTTGGGTTCAATGCTGTTCTGTTGAAACGAATTTTGGAAATGATTTGGAGTCAAAACCTTTCAAATATGACGTTTCAAAACATTTCATTCTTAAGAAATTTTATTGAATATGTTTATAAGTGTATTTTTCTCTTACAACTTTTGAATAAATATTTAGATTTATTAAATGATTGTTTTGTTTCAATGATCAATTCAGGTTGTTATGAATATGTTAAACCATATCCCTGGCTTATTAAATTTCTGAAAAATTTTCTGAGCTTAAAATTTTCTAAAATCTAAAAATTTTATCTGCGGCGCTAATTAAACAACATTTACCCAGCGAAGCAAGTATTGTGATATATCTACAAGTACTACACTAACAGCACATACATTAATTTGATCAGGATTTTTTGAGTTACGAATTACGATTACGAAAATGTCGGTTAAATTAAATTAACTCATTTAACATGTCGCCTAGTCAAAGTAAATTTAAAGATTATAAGTTCAACTCCAATAAAATTATGAACATGTTTGTTTAAAAATCAACGAATTTAACTCATTATGACCTGTTATTATTATAGCTTTTTTAATGCGAAAAAGAATATATTTGTTGTTTGTTGAGTTGTAACATGTTTGTGCTTATAAAATGAAAATTGGAGCTATAATTATTTTTGAGGCTAAAAAATTTAAATGGGGCCTCATTTGGTAAATAGTGAATATTTAATTACGGGGATGATATTCAATTTTTTATTTAAAATTGTTGATTAAATTCTTATATACATACGTTTATACATATTATAAAGATATTTTTGCCGTAATTTTTAATTAAATTTTATGTAGAATTTTTCTTTTAATTCATTTTTAATTCATAGAATTTGTCTTTTACTTTATGTGGTAAAAGTTAATTAGACAGATGTTAAAATTTAAAGAAAAATTATAAAAGTTGAGTAAATATTTGCGCAAATATATTAGACAAATGCCTTAAGTGTAAATTAATTTAAACATAAATTTATTATATTTTATTGCCAAATAGTACATACATAATTTAGAAAATAATTTTAACAAACGTTGTTATTTGTTTTTTAATAAAAATGTTAATTATGTTTTTAATAAAATCAAAGGCAGCTAGCATATACTAGATACTTGATAGACGAAAACTCGCAGAGATAAAGGTCCCTAAAATTAAAAACATATGTAGGTAAGTTAATTTTGGAGTATAAATGGGAGTAATCAAATTATGGCTCATTGAGCCGAGTTTAATAACACCAAAATCATCTTGATTGACCAAGTAATTTTGTAGCCCAAACAATTCTTTCAAGGCTTATAAGCCTGTTTTCGTTATAACCTTTTTCCAAAAGATTCAGCGATCGCAAAAACTTTCAAAATTCTTGATTATTCTTGTTCCAGATTTAGTTCTCTATCATTTAAGCTTTATTTGTCTCATTAGGAAAAAAAATTGCGGATTTTAGGGTCACATAATTTAAAAACCAACCAACATTATACTACCATTATTAAAAGTGAATATTTGAAAATTAAAAACTAAATAAATACAAATGAGTTCACAAGCATGGAATCCAAATGGAACAGAACATCCTGTAAGCTTTTAAATAAAACTTCGAGAAATTAATTTAAGATTTCTCCATACTTCAAATATCCTGAAAATCATGACACAATTGCTTTAATAGATATACTTGTGCTGTTATTTTTAGGTATTTTCTCTGTATTTTCTAATGGATTTCTTGTTTTAATTACAATTAAATTCAAAAAGTATCTTTGATTTTATTTCAAAATTATTATTTAAACATTAAGAGAACTTAATTCAAGCTGTTTTTATTTACTTGGAGTAAATGCATTTTGTGATTTAATTGTTGCTTCCACTGGTATAATTGCTTCAGTTCTTTATGCAATTTATGGAAAATTTAAATTAACAAGAAATGGATGTTTATGGTTTAATATTGCTCCACTTACTGCTTTTCATATGTCCTTTGTTTTTGTATTTTTTATTGGTTTTGATCGTTTACTTGCTGTATTTTTCCCTATTTGGTATCTTCTTTCAATTCACTCCTTATAAAAAATTATTTGAATAACGAAAAATAATTGCTTTTCTATTATAGTTTGGAAAACTTAAGTTCGAGCCTATAGAGAGTGACATAAAAGTAATTACACACTTTCCATTTCGCCATAACTTTTTTTCTCCCTTACATATTTTGTCGTAATTAATAGGGGGATTGAATTTCTTTTAATTTAAATCAATTTAGTTGTCGTCCAACTTTTAGACGGTGTACGGAATTTTGGTCACCGGAATTTTGGTCACCAAGTAAAAAAACGGAATATTGGGCACTGAATTTTGGTCACCAATAGGAATTTTGGTCACCAAACGAAAAAAAAAGAATCTTATCTAAAAGTGATATCAAAGTGATATAAAATTGTTTTTCAACGTCCAGTTGATCAATTTCAATGTTGATCACTCTCACAGTTAATCAATCATCCGGGAGAGTGATCGAGAGTGATCAACCGAGAGAGTGATCAGCCGGGAAAGTGACAAACATTGAAATTGATCAAATGGGGTTGAAAAATCATTTTTTATCACTTTGATCTCAGTTTTAGATAAGATTATTTTTTTCCATTTGGTGACCAAAATTCCTATTGGTGACCAAAATTCCGCTGGTGACCAAAATTCCGAAAAAATTGGTGACCAAAGTTCCGAAAAATCGTGGTGACCAAAATTCCGGCACCCCTTTTAGACTGAGCCACACACAAAATTTAATTTATAAATAAATACAATTTAATTAAATCGAAACTTTTATTTTTCAAATATTAAATAAATTAACGAATGAATAACGACAGTAAAAAGCACAATTATCTCGTGTCACAATGGCCACCGTGCTAATCGGATATGAATCCGATTCATTACTCTTTTTGGTATTTTGGAGTTAGGTCTGCATTAAACTGCACAAAAGTTTGGAACCGTTTCGGAAATCACTCGTTAGGGACTGGCCTTCGAATAGTAGAAAAATAAGTGTGGTCCCTTCTATAATTCTTGATTATTCTTGTTGCTTGTATAATTCTGTCATATAGGCTTTATTTAAACTAATTATATCTAATTTGCAAGAAGTTATTTCAAAAATAATGTATGCAATTACTTTTATGTCAACTTACTTAAATTGAATGGCTGTTTATTTCCAAATATAAATTCTTTGAACTTAGTCTTTTAAAATTTAACTAAAAAATTAAGGCATCTAAGTCTGTCAGTTAAAAGTTATTTATCCTTGTTTTGTACAATTGCATTGGCTATTGGCATTTTGCTTTCTTATTTTGCTGTTCTATTTCCATTGAACAGTGACCAGACGTTTGAAATTTTTAATTAATTTTAAAAAATATCTCCTCTAAACTTCCATTACTTGATTTAATTCGTTTATAGTTGACCTGAATTTTTTTGAAATAGTTTTTCCCCGTATTAAAATACTAAAGAAAAATTTTCTAGAATGTTACGTTGTTACATCGCTGATTTTTGGAATGGTGTATATGGAGATATACTTTTACCTGTTTGTCTTACACTAACAGCTGCTGCAGTGTTTTGTTATATTTTAATATTTATTCGACTTTATTTTCGAAAAAATCCTCCAACTACTCAAAATTATGTTAAAAAACTTGAAGGAGTATACAAATCGTTAATTATTATTTTATTAATAATTATTTTTGGATGGATATGTACTTCTATCAATCGACAATTAATTAAATTGACTTTTTCTAGTCCTTACCTCGCAGGTTTTATAATCATGAATTGTTTGGATTTAGTTCTGACTTTTGTTGGATGTGTCAATACTTTTGTTCTTTATACTTGCAGGTTCGAAAAAATGAAAATTTGGGATATTTTTAGTGTGCTAACTCTCTCTGATGGTTTTTCGATTTTCGGGGACCTAGTATATCTCGATCCACTTTTCTTAATTGAATTAAATAATTTAGTTGAAATTTAACAAAATTTATTTAGCAAAGACTACCACGATTCCATCAAAAAATTTTGGTTTTCGAGAATAAATACTACTCCAGTTGTTCCAATTCAAAGTTTAAAATGACAGAAGTAAAATAATACGAGGATATTTTTCAAAAATTAAAAATATAACGATATCTTTGTTAAAAAAATTTAATTTTAAAAAATTTTTGCAGCATCGGTAAACGTATAAACATTAAAAGTCAGATGATAAATTTTTTCATTTCCTAAGTTTTATTAAATTATTTTCTGTTGGAGATTTATAAGAAAGCCTTACTATTATTAGCTCCTCTACCTTCCTACCAGTTCAACAGCGAAATTTTTTTTGAAATGCAGACTCTGCAAAATATAGGAAGGTAGAGGAGCTAATAATAGAACTGACTGATACCGAGTAGTACCGTATTATCTTTGCGTTATCACTAAATTTCCTTTAAATTTTTAAATAATATATATGTTCATATCTAAGGCACAAAAAATATAGCAAAAATTTGCCCTATGGGACCAAAAAAATAATATGGGAAATATTCTCCGTGAAAATATATCGTATGAAAATGCAACTGATTATTTTATGCTAGCGCGCCAGAGGATTTAGATCATGCTATTGCAGCTATGCGCGCACGAGTTATTCTGCGGACTCCACAACCAGAACAGCAACCGTCCACTTCACGAGGATCAAAAAGAAATATGCATTATTCACAAACTTGCGCAAGTTGCCTTTTTGCAGAAGGGGAGGTAAATATACGTTACGCTCCGGATACATGCGGATGTCTGGCGTTTTGCGACACATGCATTGATGGAGGGCTATTTTAAAATAAGAAAAAAGATGCCTTGCTAAGGAGTATTAACCATTTAGAATATGGGGAAAATGAATTTAATGGCTTGTCTTATCAGCAAATTCTGGAAAGATATCCATTTTTAAGAGTGCGAGAAATTAAATTACATTATAATTTAATTTAAATTGAATTATTTTTTGTTAACTAATATATTTAAAAAGGCTAATGGTTTTTTGGAAAAAGGATTGGTGAATTAATTAAATTGAATAATTTTGTTTACTTGGTTAGTTTATAATTATGACCAAAATATTAGTAAATTAGGTACTTTTCCGTTATGCAAAGGATTTAATTCAGAGGATCTCCATAAATCAGAGGATATAAGGAGATAAAGGGGTTTAACGATATATACGATTTCAGAGAATATCATGAAATTTGGAGGGATCAGGGAGACTTAAAGCAGAAGAGAAAAAATATTTTTAGTATATAAATTACATTCTTTCCATTTATGCCGAAAAACCTCCATATATCCATGAATAACCCTCGATCTCAACAAAATAAGGATTGTCTTCGGCTGATAGTAACGTCTTCGCTAGTAAAATAAAAATGACAAAGCATAGTAATTATTTAATCGGCTAAATTTCAGCTATCTTTACCAAAATAAATTTATTCCCAATATTTTTAAATAAATTTAAATTAAATATGTAATTAATTAATATTTAAATTAAAAAGTCTTCACATTTTTAACATTTCTTTGATTCAAATTTCTTTTATTTTATGACAGCATGTAGGACATTTATTAGCAATACAATCGTACATATATGGTTCCCCTTTACATTCGTCAAAAAGGTTCGGATCTGTTATATTTCCACAATCTTTCTGTATTAAATGTTCTTTAGCCTTTTAATTTTTTAGAAAATATTATTTATTTATTTTAAAATTATATTTACCCGTACAGTAATAAGAGTCCAGAATGCTAAAATAATGAATACAAAAATAACCTTAGACATTTTTTAAAATTTATTTTATATTTATTTATCTAAATCATTTAATTTAAAAATATTTGAAAGTATTCTTGAAAATACTAAATTTTATTTTAGACTTTTAAAAATTACAAATTCATATTATTTTATCTTTTTCTTTTGGATCTTTTAAGGGTTTTGTTGGAGATCAGTCCGAGCCGAGTTCTCGAACAAAAAACTCGGCTCTATCGGAAAATAATGCCGGCATCCAATTTTTCCTTTCCTCCTCGAATGGGGGAGAAAAAGTTAACTTTTCAGCTGTAGTATAGTAAACCGGTGGTAAGGTAATTTTCAGAGTTCTTTATCTCGGTCCAATCAAATCAGATTTCGTTTCGGGAGTCTATATCTCGATCCACAGAGTTAAAAGACACCAAAATCACCGTGATTGAATAAGTTTGGACAAAGTTACCTTACCACCGGTTTACTAAACTACAGCTGAAAAATTAACTTTCTCTCCCTCATTCGAGAAGGAAAGGAAAAATTGGATGCCGGCATTATTTTCGATAGAGCCAAAATCTCTATCGTGAATTGAGAACTTTCGAGATAAAAGCTCAACCCAAGTACAAACCCCAGTTCTATCTCTATTTTTGATGATTATTTTCAGAATCATCCAAAAGAAAATTTAAACAATTTTTGTTGACTTGTGGGTTTATGCCCTCAGTCTCAGAAATGCCCACATAAAAATATTTAGACTTGAAAAATACACTTTCGAAAAATAAATTAAGGTTTGAAAAAATGATTAACAGACCGGAACTGAAAACATAAATGGTGATAACTGCTGATAACCGAAACTGGGGGTACAGACTATTAATTGCTTGTGTCCAAACTTAATTTACAAATTTAAAATACCTTATCTTAAAATAAAATAAAATTAGAAAGTTAGCTTAAATAAAAAGGATTTTTAATTTCTAGATAACAATTAAGCCTTATGGAATCTTTAATTTATATTAATAGATTCTTTATTTAATTTAAATTATATTTTTTAAATATTTGTTTAAACAGAGATTTACGTCAATTAATTTTGCCAAAATCTGACTTTTTTTTCTAAAAATAAAATTTAAATTCCTCGATAATATTTATTTAATTTTTATTCTTTTTTTATCTAAAAATAAATTTATTTTTCAAACCTTATGATTAAAAAATGTGGCAAAAATTAAAATAATTTTTTAAAAATTAAATTCAAAAGCTAAATTTAAAATAAATTTTTAATTAATAGAAAGTTATTAATAAATTATTAAATCCCAAATTGGGTTTTGTGACATTTTGCGAAAAATGATTATTTACCGAATTTAAGTCGAATAAATTTTAGAATTTTCTATCAGAAAATCTTGGGTGTAAATGTGCTGTCATGATTTAGTCGGAAAATTTTGTTCGGAATAGACAAAATACATAAACGAGGGAGAAGAGGGGTGTGGAACGATTTAGCTAGATTGTTCTGACAGTCTGCAAAAATTTAATTTTTAACTTGCGGAGGATGACAAAATTATTAATAAATTTAACCTTTTTTAAAATTTATTAAATCGATATTTTCATCACCAGGCTTAATTAATTTAAAGGCAAAAAACTTGAATTTATTTATATCACCATTGAGAACAAAAGTTTACTAAACATTAATCATGTCTATAAAAAACAATTCTATTTTATCGTTAAGAATTAAATAAAAATTTTCGTGTCCTTTTAAATTCTACACTTTCATTATTCTTATTTTAAATTTAAAATTTGAATTCATTCCAAAATTTGCATGCACTATCCTCTCTGCATTGCAAAATGAGAATTTAACTTTTGGATTATGAATATTTGAAATCTTGTATTTTGTATATTTGACAACATTGAGTTTTTTAATTTCAACATTTTTTGCTTTCCTAGATAATTTAAAGTTTGAGTTGGAAATATATTCTAACAAAATAACAGGCACCATTTTTGTACAGTTTGTTGATGTTGTTATATGCTAAAATTTAAATAATTTGTAAATCATAGATTTCATTAAAAACAAATTACTTTAAAAATAAGATCATAAAGACGTGACAACTTGAAACATTTATTACTTTTGAAATAAAATTGAGGTAATTTCATGCCGCCATTTATTATAATATCGAATAAAATATTTATTTGTTGTTCTGAAATGTCATCCTCGCTATAATTGATACTAAGAGATTCAGATATTGATAGATGATTTGAAGCGAAGTTAAAAAAGTTTTCAAACATATTATGTCTGGCAAATAGAGATGGTTTTTGAATGTGAAATTGTAAAGGAATTGTTTTGTCGTTATCAAACAATAAATTAATTATTTTTGGATTAAATAAATTATCAAAACCGGTATATTCAAAAGCACATTTAAAAAGATGTTCAAACCAACATCGAAGAATAATCATTTCTTTTATATTTTTTGGAAAGTTTGGCAATTTTAAAATATAATGATCGAGTATGACGGCAGATTGGCTTCTAGGTCGATAATCAAGTAAATATAACGGAATTGATTTATCAATCGCTTTTTGCCACTGAATAAATTTAAATTTGTTAAATAAAAATTAATTAAACCTTTTCCTTAAGTTGAGCATTCAAGTTAAATTCGAAAAATCCAGATTCAATTGGAATAACCTTATATGAATTGAACTTTTTATTGTAACTCCAATTATAGATCTAAAATAAATCAAAACAAAATATATATGTAGATAAAAACTATTTATACGCTAAGCTTTTCGAATTTCAAGCGAGCCAGTTCATTCTCATATTTATCGATAAAATTTTTGAAATAATGATTTGTTTGTTTAACAGAAAATAATTGGTCAAAATTAAGACATTTGAAGACATCAAACTGAACTTCGGGTGGCAGAGAATTCATCTCTAAATTTATTTATTTAAAAAAGAAAAATATATACAGAATTTAATTTTATTTATAAATTCATTAATCATAAAGAAATCAATATTTTTGCGGAGAATGAGAGAAAACTAAATTTAGGAGAGTAAAGTGTATTAGACAATTTTGAGACTAAATGTAATTTTTGGCAAAAAAGACTCGGAGCAGTTCAGTCCCGGCTCATTTTTCATTCCCAACCCTATAACTTATGAAGGGATTAACACCCGATATGTTCTTGGTTCCATTTAGAATTACTAAATACTTTACAAAAGTTACACTAGGATTACGGAATTTAATCAAGCTGGTTTTTGACATTAGGTTTTATAACATTTTTTATTAAGCGTTTTATTAATTTTTAGACTCATTTGGGTAGTATGTTTTTATAGTCTGGTTAGTTGAAAATCGATCTTGAACCAACTTGACTACTTTATTTTTACATTAATTTTTAAATATTTTTTAAGATGTTACAAAAGATCTAGCAGACTTAAATTTCCGCCTTCGGCCAATGAAAAATTTTGGATACTTGAATGGTATAATCCAGCCTATTACTTTAACAAAGCTATATTTAAGACAGAAATGATTGAATTATTATTTTAATACATTCAAATAATAATTCAATCATTTCTGGATTAAATATAGCTACATAAAATTAAAAATAGCTAATTAAAATTAAATAGCTAATTAAAATTAAAAATTTTGGAATTTGACGTTATAAATTAAATTCAATATATTTAATTCTTCATCACATTCAAAAGCTTCAACACTTTCCTAATGTATTTTATATCTAAAAGTCTTGATTAATGACTACAAAAATGAAAGGTTATTAAAATTTACTAAAATTTTAAGTTTATGTTGAGGATTAGGGTCAGTTTCAAACCGAACCGGAACCCTGAAGATTTTCAGTTTCGGAATTTGTTGAAACCTACGACCCAGTCATAACTATTAATTACAGATTATAATTTTTTTACCATGTAGAAAGCACTACGGAAAAATGGAAGGCACTACGGAAATCATGATACTGCGAAAGTAGTATATATAGGACTTTTAAAACATTTTTTCAAAACGTTTTAAAACCCCCAATATAAAAACTAATCAAAAGGATTAAATGGGTTTTTAAAACCAACGAATCATTTTTAAAAAATGATTTAAAGCCCCCTATATAAAAACTAAAATAATTCAAAACAAAATCAAAAGAATCAAGTGGTGTTTAAAACCAACGTTGCCTAACTTTCCAGATCGTACGGGATGGAGCATTTACAAATCAGCACGGACGCCTTTAAACAAAAATTGAAATTTTAATATAAGATCTTAATTTTATTTTTTAATTTGCTACCTTAATTTCCTTTTATTTAATTTTCCTTCTAGAATTTTCCTTTTTTAATCTTTAACCTCCTCAAGCATTGTTTATAATTTTTATTGTAAAAAATAAAACAAAATAAACAAAAATTTTTACAAAAAACAAGGAAAAAAGTGTATTTAAATCGGGAGTATCTGTCATAAATAATTTAAATATTTTCTTGCCTAATAAATATTTGTAAGCCTAATGTCTTCTCCAAAGTTTAATCGAAAACAATTTGATTTTTTGTTTCTTATAAATTATTTAAATATCAAATATTTTTTAAGGGAAAATTGGCGGAAAACAAATTTATTCTTTAGGAATTGAACATGCAAATTTAAATGAAACGGTTTTTACTAAAACTTTTATCAATTTTGATTTCAATGTTACATTTCCTGAAATTAATGGGAATAAATCTACTGAAGAAAATAAAGAAATTGTTGAAGAAAAAGGAGGGTGACTTAGAGCAATTACTTATATTAAAAAATAAATGTTTGATTAAATTTTATTCAAAATTATAGAATAATATTATTCTGTTGGATCAATTAGTGGGGCGCCTCTATAGCCATAAGGATAACAATCAAGCCGCGCATCTATTATTCCTTTGTCATATATTGGTGCATACCTCCTGCAATCCTTTTTATTTAGTTTTATTTATTTAAAATTATACCTAATTTGAGAACGGCTTGTAACTCTCCTTGTCTCCAGTTCGGTTGAAAATGTGTCCTCTCTAATTTAACAGGTTCTTGTTCTTCTCCGTATGCCTCGACCATTTTCTAAAATTACATCTGAAGTTGAACTAATTTAAAAAATACCTTGAATTGATTAAAGTCTAGTGGAGAGTCAACTTTGTCCCAACAACCGCGGCATTTTACAATGAATTTAATCTCGCCGCTATTTTTGTGCTTCATTTTCATGGCATACTGGAAAATTTACAATTGTTAAAATATATTTGTATACCTGCTTGCACCCTCCAGTATAAAATGCAACTATGTTCCAATCTCCATATTCGCGGGCCATCATAACAAGCATCTCTCCAACACGAAAAGGGGGCGTTTGTCCACGGGGATGCACGTAAAAACAGCTATCCGTGTCCGTATAAAGCAACTTGCAATCTTTTTCTTTCACTATTTTTTCCATATAGTCGTAGAGCATAATTCTGGCTTTTGCCGTTGTAATCAGTGCAATTGCAATATTGTATTTATCATGAGGTCGTACAAATTCTTTTTTATGACGATATGGAACGGAAAAAAGATTAGGAGCCAACATTTCCACGGCTCCAAGCTCAAGTTTTGGATCATTAAGAACTTTATGCAATTCAACAGGGGAGCTTGTTATACAATCCTATGAGAATTGGAAAAAATTTCAAGCAAAATGCTTACTTGTGTCAAGTTACATCGAAGTGCTCATCGACCCCACCTAAATTAAAGAATGACAACAAGCTAAAAATTATTCTCACATTGAATTGTTGCAAGTTTTTGCAAGGTAGCGCATCCCTTCGTTCCTTTCGATCCTTGTTGGATCTAAATGTATTCCATAAACATTCTGATTTCGTTCAATAAATTCTTTTTTCCTTTGATCCTCTAGTTCAGGATTTCCAGGGGCAAATACACTACCCGGCCATCCGCTTGCCTGTAATATTTTTTATTGTGGCATAAATATAATTTTACTTCAATTTTTAGACGCATCATATCCTGAACATAGGGCCGCAATAATGTGTTTGACCATTTTTCCCAATGATAAATGCTGTATATTTTAGTCACGCGATATCCCTTCTTTAATGCAAGTTCAAGTTCTACAGAGCAGGTTGTACTCACAAATCCTCGTTGTTCATCCGTGTGTGGACACCATTTATGGGAAACTTCTCTGATATATTTACTGTTAGCGCGTAACGCTAAGCCCGGAGAGGCCTCCACTGCACATCGATGGCAAACCTGAAAGACCTTAATATAATGATAAACAATTAAATAATAAAAAACCAATTTTCCGTGAATTCTTTCTGGAATAACAGGGAGATACAAATCTTCGGGTGGAATTATGAAGAGCTTGAACAGTCCACGATAGGGTGTAGATCCTCAGGTTTTGTCCAATTCACATCCTTATTTAATTCCAAAACATTCGGGTGTCCTGGTATAAAATTTTTAATTAGATAATTTTTTATTTTATATACCAATTGGATAAAAAGCATAAAAGTTGACAGCAGGATATAAGCTGACAACATCAAAACAAGAAATCTCAAATTCGTCTGTTCCTTCTAAATCACATTTTAGAGCCAACGGGCCCGTTCTTCCGCCCTTAATTTAAAATTATATATATATTAAATTTTAACTAATTCAAACATGAAAAGCATCTCTTGGATACAGAGGGCCGATATCTGGCAAGGTATCAAAAAACAGAGACATTTCTGGATCCTCTTCAAGTTGTTTCATAACTTGACATTCCCATACGGCAGTAGTCCAAATTCCCTCTTCTTTCAATAAGCGAACACGTTCATAAAGTTTATCTTTGTTATATAGTGCCGTCTTTCCATTTAAACAAATTTCATGTGGGAGGTATAAACTTTAAAACGATTTATTTGAAGAAGTATTAAAGTTACCATTCATGGCCGTGCCATGCACATCCTAGAAATTCAATAGCTTGGTCTACTCCTCCAATGCTTTTAATATACCCATCGAGACGCAAAATACTTCCATCTGAAACTTTGACTCTTTTTTCTCCTTCTGCACTTTCTTGATGTTGAACTTGAAAACCTGTCTTGTGAGAAAGCCAGCGAAGAAATTTTAAAGCAATTGCTGATTGGTTTGAGTCTCTATGATATCCATTTTCTGGGATAATACCAATTTGATCTTTTTTCATATAGTTTATGCCTAAAAATTATTTAAATTGAAATATTTTTAAAAATATACAAAAATGACGGATGCACGCGCTTGCCAAAGTCATGGAATTGACCAACACATCGTCACGCTTTGATGGTTCTCTGGCAAGTTCAAAGAAAAGACGTTGAAGTTTGACGAGAGCATGTGCTAATACACGCACATCTTGCTCACAGTATTCGACTATTTGCTCACGAAGACAAAATGGTTCGTTTTTATTGTTGTTATAACATTCTTCAAATTTGATTCTCCTTTCTTTTCCCATAGAATTGGGGTAATAATACTGCTGATCAGGCAGCCCGTCAAGCCGAACATTCATATTCTTGTTGAAATTCCAGCCATGAGGAAAAAAAGATTTTCCCCCTTCGTCGATATCAAGCACAAGTGCTTTTGGGAGCTGTTCCAGCTTAAGCATTGTCCAATTAAAGGAGTCACGGAATGAAATATAAGGACATATTCCTCGTTGTTTTTTAACAAGCACTTCATAAAGTTTATTTCCTGTCCTTGTGATTTTTGGTTCGATGCCAAAATATTTAATCAAATCTCCCAACAATAGATGCATATCATAGCGCCTAAATAATATCTATTAAAAATGTAAAAAATTGGAAATACCCTCCATAGTTTTAAAATCTGCAGATGTCCAACTTCTCATCCTCGTGGCACCTATACTACAAATTTTACAATTTTCTGTTGTCACATCTTTCCAATTATTACTGCTCATACAATGCGCACATAGCAATAAAGCCTAAACTATAAATATATGGAATATTAAAATGAAAATATTACCGAAACACAATTTACATGGTGCAATTGGTAGTTTTCATCGTTAGGCAAAGTGTTTAAAGAAATTAAACCTTCATTTTTCAAACCCTTCCATTCGTCTTTGTTTTTAATTGGTGAAATTAGTTCGCATTCAAAATCAAATACTACCTAAATACATTTTGAATTACAAAATAATTTATAACTACCAATAGATAATTTCGATCATTTTTAGGAACTATTGGTAGAACAAAGCATTGTTCTTCACGTTTATGGTAAGATCGACACTGGGAACAAAAATGAACATAACAAACATGCCCATCTCCATTGTTATCATTGTCTGAAAAATCATCCGTTCCACTCTCTTCACTAACTGCTTCATGAGATTTCTTTTTTACCCTGTAGGGCTGACCACATTTTTCGCACCTAAATAAACTTTTGGACTAACAATAAAATAATAAAGATACCTTCTGAAAATTTTGCAAATTCCTTTGACAATATGCCTTTTATAACATTCTGGATGTCTAAAGATATTAGCACATGCTGAACATTTTTGCACATATTGATCTATTTCTTCACAAGGAAATCCAAACCCTATCCCACAGCATCTTGAACATTTTGCCGCACAATTTAATCTATGATTTATGATACTGCGGTAAGGGGCTTCACATTCAAGGCAGTAGTATGTATTTTTTCCATAAAGAGTGTTAAGACTTCTTATTCCAAAATAGTGTCCGTCTTTTAAGTATAAACATATTTCTTGTTCAGCCCTATCAGGGCTTTTCCATAAAGGACGCATAGTTACGTTATCCCCGAATACCGCAAGCCGATACTTTCCAGGAAACTGTATATTTAATAAATTCTGGATCAAAGGCACATGTTCTTCAATGGTATAATGAGTTCCATAAATAGGATAATTTATTTTGTTTTCTATCATTTGTTTCAGCATTTCGTTGATCAGTTGTGTTCGTTTGATTTTCGCATTTTTATTTTCCCCGTTTACAAGTCTTTGGAATTTGACGTTGTTACACGTTGACCTTCCCAAATTTGCGTGCAATAATTTGAGCTGAACGGCCAGTAAGAGACAATGATTATCTGCAGGAGGGTTGAGATTCTCATTATGTACCTATAAATTATAATTTGTTTATAATAATTTGCTCACAGGGATGAGATTGTTTTCGTCTATTCCATGACAAATTTGTCGAGGTTTTCTACCATTGCCTCCTTGTCCCATTTTCGCTAATTCGACTGCTTCTTCATGAGAAGGCCCCATAACAATCTAAATAAACGTTATGAATAATCAACTAAATAAATTATGCCTCAATATGAATAGGCTGGCTGTAAAGTGATGGTCTACCCATTCTTTTCCCACTCTGGTCCACCGCATCAAATTGTTCCATTACAACACTTGGAGTGTTTTGGGCCAACCCCCGGTATGGAATTTGAATAGGTTTTTCTAGAACCGAACTTCTAATAATTATTGAACATTTTTCAGATTTCGATCCGTCCGCGGCGTCTGCTCTCGCAATAAAAAGATCAATCAGGTCTTCGAACAGTGCATCGCTTCCATCTGGTGCATCTTCCAAGTTTCTAACAGTAAATACATTTCTGAAAGTAAAAATTTTTAAATAAATGAATGCTTGTTACCTGAAAACGCCCATTTTAAATTTTGTATTTTTAATTTTTTCAGAAGCTTCCTCCCTGTAAAAATGTTTAGCTGGAAATTTCCCAAAATTTCTCTGATAGTGACGATGCATCTGAATTAAGTTAAAACGCTCTTAAAGAAGTAAGACATATAATAAAGCGAATTTAGCGCTTGTTTTAGAGAAAAGACGATTAGCGGAATATTTATTTAAAATACAATAACAATTTTTATCCTCGAATATCTTCAGCAGGAAGCATTTCTTCAATATTCTCATTCATTCGCAAGTTTTCTTCAGACATTGTTAACGTTGCTGGAGTTGAAGGTCCTGCTTCGTCGTCAATATTCATCTTTGATTCCATTCGTTTGATTATGTCATTAATAATGATATGTGAAGATGGAGTATTTTAATGATGCGGTCTTTAATTTCAGCACCTCTTGTTTCTTCCATCGCTAAATGCTAATAGTACGATTAGTTTATTATTTAAGCAATTAATTCGATTAAATAACGATTTTACAAAAGAAAAATTTTTTATCCTCGAATATCTTCTTATAATCATTCTCATCATCTCCTAAAACAATATTTGCATTTGGCTCGTCATCTGATTCTTCTCTCCCGTCATAATCTTCATTTGCGATAAGTAATGCATTATCAACAATTTTCTTTGCCTCCTTTGCATCATTAAGTTCTAGCATCTTCTCCCGCTCAATTACTCCCTTAAAATTAATAGTCTTCTATTAATAACACTATTTTTACTTTAATAACGTCATCAAATGTAGCTTTTTGGTCCTTATGAGTCCTCTTTTTTGCTTTACAAGCTTGTTCCTTCGTTAAAGGCGGTGAAGTGGAGGAAGCAGATGAACCGCTAGATTTTGTAATTTAACGTCTCTTTCGCGCCTCTACAGCTTGTTTCTTCTTTTTCTGTTCCAAGATAAAAGCGCGCAGTTATTTAATTTCCGATGCCGACATTGAAACTAGAGGAATTTTTATTAAAAACATTTATTTTTACCTTGTAATGCCGAATCTTCTTGCGCAATTATTAACTCTTGTTCCTCGGATTCTTTATCGTCGCACATCTCCGTCCTCGCATCCTCAACAATCATAATCGGCGCGTTCACACTGCCTGTAAATGATAATACATAATTATTAGATGAAATAATAATGTGATTCTCATTTACCATTTCGGGTTGGCTTATCAACTATTCTTTCTATGAGAATTTCTTTTCAATGATCTAATATGCGCAACTAAAATTAAATTATGAAAAGAAAAATTAAACTATTTAAAAATTATATAACCATGAATTTAAAAAATAAAATCAACTATTAGGGCAAGATTTATATAAAAATTTTATTATTAATATAAAAATTCTAAATAAATTTAATTCTAAATAAATTTAATTCTAAATAAATTTAATTAAATTTAATTCTACAATTTGAAAATTTTAAAATTTTTAAGTGGGAAAATTAAACATGTTAAATAAAATAATTTTAAAAATTTAAAAATTGAACTATTTTTATAATATTAAGATAAAATTGATATTATTAAAATTTTTAATATTTATAATATTTTAGGGATAATTTAAATGTATGGGAATATCTAGAGAAAATATTTGAATGATACTAGTTGAAATTTTCTGAAGGCTTTTATATAGAAATTTTACAGGGAAGACCAAAGTATAATGTAATAAATCACTCATTGTAATCGTGACTTTATGTTTATTTCGAGAGTTCATGACAGAAAAAGATGATGAAATAAACAAAAAGGTGTCAATTTATATTTAAAACAATTTATTTGGGCCAATCTTTAGTCTTAACAAGTATTTGTTTATAGGGGATATTTTCTAGAATATTCCACAAAATTATCTTTAAACAATAAATTCTTTGGCCTTTTATCTTTAAACTATTTTTCTGCAGTTTGTATTTTGCTATAAATACAAATCAAAAATTGTATTACTATGAAATTCAAATTCATTAGTAAAATTAATAAAACAAAAAAGCAAAGATTGCAAAAAATTTTATTTTTAATTCTAATATTTTAATTTTTGCTTATTTTAATTTCTTCATTTTAAAATTTTTAAAACAAAATTTCGAATAATTTTTAATGCTTATTTTTAATAATTTTAAAATTTTTAATTTAATTATTAATAGTTTAATACGAACGAGGTTTTTTCGTTTCGGTTCTTTTTTTCGTAAAATTTCAAATTTTATATCGAAAAAATGAGGATTTTTCGATTCAGTTCCTTGGTTCGTAAAATAAACAAATTTTTATACCAAAAAATAAGGCATGCTTTTTCGGTTAGGTTCTTCGGTTCGGTTTAAACACAATCATTTACAATACATCCAAACTGAAATTTCTTCTTTGTTTTTCCTCAATTTTTCCAAAATTTTCTTTAAGTCGTCGGTTTAACCGTCTTCTCCTTCTATTGAAGTTCGGTTAAAGTGAAACTGACAACCTTACTAAAATCAAAATTTAAAAGAATTATTAAAGATTTTAAATAAAACAACACTTTAAAAGGAAATGGGAAATTGTCAGTCAAGGTTTATCAACAAATCTTCAAATGGCCGAATTATTTGCAAAACTTTCGAGTATTCAGGAAACTTGTCTTCACATTAAATTACTGTTGAAAACATTAATTTTTACATTTTGTATGTGTATACTTTGTTTAAATAAAAATTAAACAAATACAACTTTTTAAGACAAAAATTAATTTACTAGATTTTCCATATTTTTGACCTTCATTAACTGCATACAATGATGGCCCTCCCAATTAAAAGTTCTTTTAAAATTTTTGGAATTTTTAAAATTTTTTAATTCAAAAAATTATTGTAAACCAAGTTTTATGTTACATCTTTGGCGGTTTATTTTTAAAAAATTATTTTTAAATGAAACCTTAAAAATTGAAAATGCATCACTTTACTTTACTAACAATTTTATTCGCTCTTCTCTTTCATCCAATTCTTTTAACAATTTTTAAGATGTAAGGTACTCTTGTTTCTAAAAGTTTTTAAACTTAAAAATTTCAAAAATTCCCAAACATTTTGTAATTACATATAATAAAAAAACCTTTCCTTTAATTCATCCAAATCCGTCCAAACCATTGGAGTTTTTAAATATCTAAATTTACACAAAAATTTTACTACTTGAAAAAATTCTAAAAATTTTCTATTAAAAAAGAGAATTTTTCTACATTTTACAAGACATTTTTTTACATCATATATAATATTCTTCCATCACACTCCTTTCTCTTCAACCCTTTCTGTATTTTCTTCTTTAATAAATTTATTTCCATTAATTTCAGGAAATGTACCATCAAAATTGCTGGTAAAAACTGTTTTGTTTATCTTTGACCAATTCCTAAAGAATAAATTTGTTTTCCGCCAATTTTCCCTTAAAAAATATTTGATATTTAAATAATTTATAAGAAACAAAAAATCAAATTGTTTTCAATTAAACTTTGGAGAAGACATTAGGCTTACAAATATTTATTAGGCAAGAAAATATTTAAATTATTTATGACAGATACTCCCGATTTAAATACACTTTTTTCCTTGTTTTTTGTAAAAATTTTTGTTTATTTTGTTTTATTTTTTACAATAAAAATTATAAACAATGCTTGAGGAGGTTAAAGATTAAAAAAGGAAAATTCTAGAAGGAAAATTAAATAAAAGGAAATTAAGGTAGCAAATTAAAAAATAAAATTAAGATCTTATATTAAAATTTCAATTTTTGTTTAAAGGCGTCCGTGCTGATTTGTAAATGCTCCATCCCGTACGATCTGGAAAGTTAGGCAACGTTGGTTTTAAACACCACTTGATTCTTTTGATTTTGTTTTGAATTATTTTATTTTTTATATAGGGGGCTTTAAATCATTTTTTAAAAATGATTCGTTGGTTTTAAAAACCCATTTAATCCTTTTGATTAGTTTTTATATTGGGGGTTTTAAAACGTTTTGAAAAAATGTTTTAAAAGTCCTATATATACTACTTGCGAAATCATTTCGAATTTTAATGAGTGGAGATGCGCTTAATGAGCTTTGTTTTAGATAGCTTTAATTGCCATGAATTTTAGGTTTCTTAATTTATTTGTAAGATTTTTGATTTTTTCTAAAAAAGTTTAAATATTGCCGAATCTCTCTAAAAAATTTTCTATGCTTTTCACAAATTATTTTTAGGGAAGTTTCCGTCACTTTGTTTTTGTTTTGCTGTCGATCCATTGTTTGTGTTTCATAAATTTGTGTTTCGGTACTTTTCGGTTTCGGTACTTTTCGGTACTACCGGTACCGGTACGGAACCGAAGAGGTTTCCAGTACCGCGGTAGTACCGATTTTTCGGTACTGGGAAATTTCAAGAAAAAAATGAAAAATATTATCATTTGGACTTCAAATATTCTCAAAATTTTTCCGTCGGCGCTCAAAAGTAAAGAAATTTGGCTTTTAAGCTATCAAAAATCGAAAATTTTTGCCTGCGGCGCTAGAACAAGAAGAAAGCTGGCTTCTTGGCCTTCTAAAATTTCAGAGTTTTTAGAATTTCAGAGTCCCTCTCCTCAAATTCCTGATATCCCCGATTAGCTTAAGAATATCAGGGGATTCCTACTCACAATCCTCTGCTTTCCAGCATATATATATATCCCGCTAAATTAAAAGCTCTTAAGTGGATATTTGCGGATTAACTGGTATAAATGGATTTGCCCAGATTAAGAAGGATTCCAGAGGATTTGTGAGGTTTAAAAGTAATATAGAGGTCTTAGGAAGATTTTAAGGATATTCGGGTTAAATGAGATAACGGTGGACATCTCATAAGGCAATCTTAATCCGCTAAATCCAGCGAAATCCTCCGATATCCCGCTTAATCCCTTGATATTCCTATTAACAACGATCCTTTAGGCACGTCGAACTGTTACACATCAATTAACACATTTATAAGTCCAAATTTTGATATTATGTCATTTTATTGTGAGTACCGAAATACCGCGGTAATACCGAAAATTTTTCATCAGTACTTTTCGGTTTCGGTACTTTTCGGTACTACCGGTACCGGTACGGTACCGATAAGATTTTGGAATTTTCGGTACTAATTCGGTTTCGGTACTTTTCGGTACTACCGGTACCGGTACCGAAAAAATCCATTTGCCGAACACTACTTGAAACCCCGAAATTTCGATACATAAACGGTTATTTAAGGAATTTTATTACCTTGCAGTAAAAACATGTTGTATGTTTACATTTTGGATCATTGTTTTTAAGACAGGCATTCTGATGGTATATACCATTAATCTTAAATAAATGGTTAAAATAATTTTGAAATAAAAACTAACAATCATAGTTTTATTTCTATTACAAGTTAAGCAAAAACTAGGTCCTGTGTTCGGATCGCCTTTGACCCTTTTTCCCTTTCTAGAAACATATAATTCCATGGGAGTTTGCAAATTATTTGCGTCCCAAATAGATTCACGCACTTTTTTGCAATTTGAAGACTCTTGAGATGGTGCGAGTTCTAAATTATATTTCAATATTTTCATATTTAAGGATAAAACAATTAGGGTCAAATGAAAATTTATAAATTATTTAAAATTAACCAGACCACAAGGAATTCAGATTTCTTAAAACTCGAAACCGAAATTCTCGGATAGTTATAAAATTTTCAACAGTAAAATTAAATTCTTTTTGAATGTTTATTTTTCTTAAATACTAGGGTAGCACGAGACCGTTTAGAAACCTCTTTTATTGTTCCCTGTGGCGGGTCAAAAAGAGAAGAGAGAAAAAGTCCGCCACAGGGAAAAATAAACCTCGAATTAAACGGTCTCGTGCAGAAAAATTTTTTACAAAAAAATTTTTTGAGCATTATTTTTAGCGTAGTAAAAAATAATTTATATTTTTGATTTTTTCCTTAAATACATACCGGCTCTGTAACTAATGTCATATTCACCAATATTTCCCTTTCTCATTATTAATATCTCAGTTTCATCTTCAGAATTAATAGTTAGAAGTCTGTCAAAATTACAACAAATTCTAGCTCCTAAAAATATTTTTAAATTGTTTTTAAACACACAATCCCTCACCAGCTACTGTTTTATCTTTGAGATATTTAATTTCTATATAATTATTTTCACAATAAGTTTGACAGACAAAACCTTCCAATTTCTCTATTGTTATTATTATACGTTTTGCTTTGATTTTGTCATTATTTTGTTCTAACTAAAAATATGAATCAAGTAAAACTAATATAATATTTATTTTTCCACATTAATGGCGAAAAAGCATTTTTCCCTTCCAAAGTCTGCAGAGATGTATTGTTTTTTAACTTTTGCAGTTAATTTTATGACCCTGCAGTTGCTATCTAAAAATTTTTTTTATTTTCATTTTCATTCAAAATAGGTATCTAAATTACATTTATATTCAGTACAAGTATCTCCATCATATCCTGAAGGACATTTACATTTACACTTTTTTAAGGGGTTTGGATAGCCACCATTCCGGCATTTTCCATTATTTAATTCATAATTTTTTACATCACATTTCAAATCAATTGATTTAGATAATGTAGATTTATGTGGATATTCTCGAGTGCCTTAAAAGATATTAGATTTCTACTTCATTCTGTGAAATTTTGTGAGATTGGATTAAAAATTGTCTTAGATTTTTTGCAGATTTTGTTAAACTACATAAGCTTCAGGGCTGGGCGATAGGTAAGGAGCTAAAAAAACGATCATAACTTTGTTCAAACTTGTTAAATCGCGTTGATTTTGATGTCATTCGACTCAGCTCGAGGAGCTCTTTCGAATGAGCTATCATTTGCAAAATCGAATTTTTCACCCCAAAAATCCACCCAAAGTAATTTGACCATTTCGAGCCCTATATCTCAGTCCACGGGCATCTCTGGGAAAAAAGAGTGGTACAATTCGACTCAGCACCTTTTTCTGCCCTATATATGACATTTTGAACATTAATTTAGGGTATTACGTCATAACGGAAAAGTACCGAAATTTTGCCTCCGGTATACTATACAGATTTCAAAATTTTTCTAAAATTTTAACTAATTTCGCATTTTCGCGTTTCGCATCTTTCGCATTTTTCACATTTTTTGGCGCGAAAAGTTTCGCATTCCGCATTTCGCTTTTTATTTTTTTAAAAAAAGTTTCGCATTCCGCATTTCGCTTTTTATTTTTTGATTTCGCCCAGCCCTGATAAGCATGTATTATCTAAAATTAAATTATTTCCTACAGTAAATTCTGTTGAGAAGTTTTACGTCCTTGAAAGAAGGTTCATATTCCCCCATTGAATTTTGATAGGCGCGTTTTAATGCAACAATTGTATATTTACTAAATAAATTTTTCATTCAATTTTTATTTCGTTGAATTTACTTCCTATCAAGTGCAGGACCAGTTGCACCATAATGCATAAGTGAAGTATAATCGTAAGGCATTTCAAAATTCAATGTATTTCGTGAATAGTAATTATGATGTTTAGACTAAATTTTTTATTTGTTATCAAATGATATTTATTAATATTTTCTAACTGTATTAATATTTTCATAATTAATCCACACGAATTTACTTCGATCATTGCGAGACATTTCATGGCGTAAGCCTAAAGCGTGCATAGTTTCATGGATTATAGTTCCAATCTAAATATTCATTAAAATTTTATAACAATTAAGGCTGTTTGAAAAAGCACTAATTAATTAATAAAAGAAATAAGAGTAAAAGTAATTTGCTGACTGAAGAAGTTTTATATTTTTAAAAAAAGCTTTTTAATAATAATAATTTAAATAATTTAGACTTGGGTAGCTGTTGAAGGATATTTAAAATTAAAATAATGATATTAATTAGTTATTACCGATTTACATTTACTCCATGGAACCCAAATATGCTGAGATTCAATGGTTGTTCCCTCTGATGTTTTTCTCGCAACATTTCCAACCAACGACTCGCAGCGTGTTCCTTTATTTATATATTCAATATCATGTGAAGAATGAATACCGACACGTTCAAATTTTAGACATGTCAATTTACTAAAATAATTTTAAAACTTATTAACGGCGGATAGAATGTTTAAGAGAGGGAAATAATGAAGTGCTGGGTATTTGCCATTTGTTGGCTCCGGCTCCGGGGTTTCAAATTCTTGGCTCCGGCTCCGGGGTTTCAAATTCTTGGCTCCGGCTCCGGGGTTTCAAATTCTTGGCTCCGGGCTCCGGGGTTTCAAAATCTTGGCTCCGGCTCCGGCCGCTCCATGTTGGCTCCGGGCTCCGGGTGGAAAATAATTGAATTATTTTTCATTGGGGGATTTGGGTAGATAAAGAGGGATATCGAGTGATATAAGAGGATTAAGAGGGATATCAACGGATTAAGCGGGATTTGGGTGGATTATCGTGTCATTTAGGTGGATTAAGGGCGATATCGGGGAATTAGGCGATATTGGGGAATTACCTCATAGATTAAAATTAATCAATTTGAAAAATTTATCCAGCTTTATTTAATAAAAAATGCTTATTATAATTTATTTTCCAACGAAAAACAATTATTTAATTAGTTGTTGTGATATTTTCGAACCTATAAGTGGATAAAACCGGAACCTAGCTCACTATCCATTCAACCAAACCTACATTGAAAAGTTAAGGAAAGAAAATCTTTTTTACCCGTCTCAATTTTCTCTTCCTTTTCTTTTCTCGCCTACCATCTTTGCTTACTTTTTTTCTCTAACCCATCTTTAGGGGTGTATAGCCGGAGCCGTGGGGAATTGGAAAACCTTGGCTCCGGCTCCGGGCACTTCAAATTCTTGACGGGGTTTTCAAAATGTTAGCTCCGGCTCCGCCGGAGCCGGCTCCGGAGCTAGCTCCCGGAGCCATACCCAGCACTGGAAATAATTCCATTACAAAGTATGTGTAGATAAAGCTACAAAAATTTTCTTAGCATTCAGAAATTAAATGTTTTATTAGCTTATTTTATTGTAACTAGTTTTATTTAAACACTAGTTTTTAGCATTCTGAAAACTAATTAAAAAGTTACCTTAAAATTCTTAGACCATCGTCTACTAATTCAATCATATTACCTAAAAATACAACTAGATAGTTAATGTTTAAAATTTATTCAAACGGTCGGCACTAATAGAAAAAGAATAGATTATAGGCATTTTCCACAAATTTAATTCCATTTTCCGCCCATTATCAATAAATTGTCTTTTGACACGGATTTGCTCCTTGTCGCCTCCTTTGCAACCTAAAATTGTAAAACAATAAATAAAATGTTTAGAATTTATTAATCTACTTCCTATGTTTTGAATATGGATTTGGAAGGTCTTCTATTGGCTCCTGAGATGTTTTTTGTCTCGAAAATAGCTTTAATAGTGCTAATTTATCATTTTATTACTGATTAAAACATTTTTCAAAATGAAGAATGAATTTATTTATTAAAGATTAAAATTTATTAAAATTTTTTAGGAAATACCGATACCAATTTTTAAATCCCGATCCCGAGTCGGTATCGGTACCGGTATCATTAACTCAAATCCCGATACCGATTTAGGCTAATCCCGATCCCGAGTCGGTACCGGTATCGGGATCGGTATCATCAATCCGAAATACCGATACCGCTTTTTTCTCGAAATACCGGTACCGCTGAACCCTACTGAAAATGTAAGAAATCTGTCTTCTGCTTTTCCAAAATTCTCAAAATTTTCGCCTGCGACGCGGTTGTAAACGATTTTGTTTTCGGCGCATTAAATTATTTGATGGAATTAATATGATTGAATTAGAAATGATTAAGAGGGTATCATTAATTTTTCAGAGATTCGAATTTTTTATGAAATTTCGATTTCGATATTTTTGGATTTCTTTCGATTTCCGATTTTCGAAGTTTTTTTTGTTTCCCGCAACCCCGAGGTCAGCAAAATCGAGGTCGAGGTTTGAAAATGGCGAGGGCCTCGGCGAGGCCTCGACCTACTCTAAATGTTAATATTGGTAATAAATTTTGATTGGATATACACTCACCAGAATTTCTCATTGAGCTATTCTTAATTAAAAATTTTAGAATTAAAGAAAATAAGCATAGGGAACGAAATTATGGGGTGTGAAAATATCCAAGTACAATAATCATATTTAAAATTTTACATTTTTTTCCATCTTCAATAAGTTGAACAACGTCATCGTAGCTAAACAATATGTCATCAAAACCAATAAAGTCCGCATCTTCACACCCATGAACCAAACCATCAGCATCACGAGTTCCTAACAAAGGGTCCTCTTTTAAGCTTCGTTTATTTCGAGATTCAGTAGGTACATTTAGCCAATCATCAGTCTGAAAAGTCAACTTTCAGTCGAATATTTGGATTCAGATTCATGTAAAATCTTCAGATATTCGAACCGAAAAGAAATTCTCCGTTTTTAGGTTCATGGCAAAATTCCGTCATAAATCCCGGAAACCAATCCAGACAAACAACGTGGCATTCGAAAGAGTTCGTCAAGCTGAGAATAACGACACTAAAATTAGTCCACAGACTCAACTGTGAGCCGAGATACAGCACCCTAATTTTCGACAAACCACAGGGGGGAGGAACCATAACCTCTTTTTTGGGGTGAAAAATGCAAATAATAGCTCAATCGAAAGAGCTCCTTGAGCTGAGTCGAATGAGACCAAAATCAGCGGAATCCGTATTGATTAGATGAAGTTATGAGCATTTCTTTTAGCCCTTACCTTTGGTATACAGGCAGGTTTTTGCGGAGGAAGCTAGACATAACGACCGCAGCTGGGACCTAATTTTGGTGTCATTCGACTCAGCTTGCCGAGCTCTTTCAAATGACATATTGTTTGTCTGGATTGGTTTCCGGGACTTATGACGGAATTTACCAAGTTCAGTTACGAAAAACAATACTAATGTAGTAGTAACATTTAAAGTGTGGAATATAAATCTAATTTGCATATGTGTGTTTATAAGTATTTATGAGGTATATGTAGTATTAATAATATTTTATAAAATTCTAAATAATTTTTACTATATATGATGGGCGCGGTTCTTTTTCACAAGGGCATTTCTTATCCAATTCCATCCATTCATTAAACGCATCTTTTAATTTGTTGTATTCCTCTAAGCCAAATTGATCGCACTGATTTGGTCCACGTTTGTACTAAACATTAAAAAACAAATTTTTAATGGCCAAGATGATTTTGAAACAGAGCGGTACTTATATTTCAAAATATTTTTATGAGGTATCAGTCTGCTTTTGTTAAGTAAGATTTATCACAGAAAAATCCTACATAATAGACCGATCTGCTTTCTGTATTGAAACTTTTATTAAATAATATGTACATTAAAAATAGGAGTATGTTGCTAGATATATGAAGCGTAGGCGCTTGTGCAAAACCCCGTTTTTGCGGCACGCGACTCGCGGGAGTCAACAGTCGCTGGTTTCTACAACAGTAACATAAACCTATCCCTTTTTCCATTTTCAGCCTTGATCTGCCAATCTACCACCGTAGCTCAAAAATATGAGTGGACTCATAAACTGTGATTGGAATCATAAACTGCAGTAGAGCCAAAATTTACGAGATTTTTGTATTTTAAGCTTTGGCATTACAAGCTTTTTGTATTTCATGCTTTTGGCATTATAGCACGTTACTTTCAACAGGAGCCAGAATTATCAATACACATTTGTGGACGGACATTTACGGATATATCACACAATCTAGGTTGTCGGTTTCAACAAAATTTTTCGGTTAACCAAAACCAAACCGAAATTTTCGGCTAGCCGAGACTAACAGAAATTTTGTTGAGGAATAAGGAGATATATATGATTTAGGTGGTGGCGAACCGAAATTTTTGGTTAACCGAAACCGAACCGACTAACCGAACCGAAAATCTTCGGTTTTTCGGTTCAGTTCGGTTTAAAACCGCCAACCCTAAGTAAGAGAGCTAAAGAGAGATTTTCGGCCACTTTATAAATGAACTATGTCAAGACAAACTCACACAGCTGAGTTCCTTTACAACCAACTCATTGTTTAACTTTAACTGCATTGAGCCAAAACATGATCTTTCCGGTACAGATATTATTAAAAAATTTGTAGAAAACAACTGCTTTCCTTCTATATTCATGTCAGGACCTATCATTGCCATATCACCACCCTGTTTAATTTGTATCTCATTTATGAAATTGATATAGAAAGAAGCAAAAAATCCCTTGCTATATTTATTTAGCTCCCAAAATTTGTACTCTCATGTTATCAGTTTTTTATGCATTTTTTATGTCCCCCTTTAACTTCTCCTTCCTTCATTTTTTATTTCTCTTTTGGATTACAAAATGGTCAAAAGCAATTATTGGGAAAGGATTAAATCAGGGCTCTCATTCGTACTTTATTTGAAAGTACAGTACTTTAAAATCGACCTCCGTACTTACAAAATTGAATTTGTACTTTATTGAAAGTATGTACTTTAAAATCAACATTTTAGATTGAAAATGAAATTGGGGAAGGGATTGGGCAAAAAAGTGAATTTTTTTGGCCTACGGCATTCGAAATTCTCAAAATTTTCGCCTGCGGCGCTGAAAAAGGAAGAAATCTGGCTTCTTGGGCTCCAAATTTCAAAAAATTTTCGCCTGCGGTGCTGAAAAAGTGAATTTTTTTGCCTACGGCCTTCTAAAATTTTAAAAATTTTCGCCTGCGGCGCTAAAAATGGAAATAATCTGGCTTCTTGAGCTCTAAAATTCTCAAAATTTTCGCCTGCGGCGCTGAAAAATGACGAAAGAAAGTAGCTTGTTTGAGGTTGACTGTCAGGGCTTTATTTCTTGTGTCAGCGAATTTTGACATGTCATGCATTGAAATGCACAAAATGCTCAGTGGAAACAAGAAATTATTAGAAAAGATTCATTTAGGAGAGAAATATAAAAATTTAAGCACGAATAAATATGTATTTCTAATTTAATTTTGAGTGTACTTTAAATGTGAAAATTTTGTCCCTATGTACTTTAAAATCAAGATTTTTGTACTTATGATTGGTATTTTGTCGATGAGAGCCCTGGATTAAATGCATTTATAAAAACCAAAAATGTAACAATATATAAATATTAATAACAAGAGATAACACAAAAGTACCCCAAAATTTTCTATAAATCTAAAATGGGTTTTAAAAATCTAAAAATGATTTTAATCGACTGTAAATGGTCATATTTTCATGGAAATCTTCGATAAATTCAAGATAAATTTGGGTGCGAAAAAGTCAAAATTCGTTTTAAGTCCAATTTTGGTCAGTATTATGTGATTAAACAGTGTTTTTGACTAAAATATGCTATAAATATGCAGCAGGTACTGGAATTTTGGTCACTAGCGGAATTTCGGTCACCAAACGGAAAAAAAGAGTCATATCTAAAGCTGATATCAAAGTGATCAAAAAATGATTTTTCACCCCCAGTTGATAAATTTCAATGTTTATTACTTTCCCGGCTGATCACTCTCGATCACTCTCCCGAATGATTGATTAACTGGCAGAGTGATCAACATTGAAATGATAAATGGGAAAATTCCGGTAACCTTTACGTGCACTTCTTAAATGTTTTGCGGAAATAAAATTTTTTTCCAAAAATTTTCACAAAGAATTTTTTTACCTAGAAATTTCAAAATTTTAAAAATTTTAACCAATTTTTGGCAAAATTTTACAAAAAAAATGCCAAGATATGGACCAAAATACAAATATATACGAGAGGGCCAATATACATAAGCAAAAATTTTCATTAAGAACTGGGTCCTAAAATGCTCGTACCGATGTAAAAACACCATTTTTGGGCTTCCCATGTCAAGGCATATCCGTATACAAAACATGCAAATGCATGTTTTGTGAGTCCTTACTTATGACTTCCTTCATTTCTTTCTATCTAATTTCCCTTTTGTATTTTGCAAGCTATAACAAACCTCTTCTACAATTTCCTGAATGCTTTTATGCTCAAGATTAGCAATAACAGAACTTCCATAATCATAAACATTTCCATTCATTTCATCAGTTAAAATTGCAAAATTCTTTCCATTATTTCCCAATTGTATTGAAAATAATGTAATATTATCTTCTTCATCATTTAATAGACCGAGATAATGTTCTCCATCGGGATAGGTTTTAATTTTTCCAATTACTTTAATTGTTTTGTTAAGCTCAATTCTAAAAAATAATTGTGTTAGGTATTGGCTTAGTATAAAAGCGACCGTTTTTATTAGTTAATATTAGAGCCCAGAACGTACCTTACTTACGATGGTATTTTTCGGTATTTATCGGTATTCAGTAGATGGTACGAATTATGGAAAGATTTAAAAGTTCATCCGCAGCGGCAAAAACTTTTTTCCGCGGAGGCCTTATGCAAGCATATGATCATAAATTTGATCAGTCAAGTCTGATTTTGTTGAATTCTGAACAAAGTTATGACATACGACTTGAGCCATTTGCTTTCTGTTCCGAAATTATACCAAAACCGGTATATATCTTTAATGAATATTTTCAACCCCTTATATGTGCCTATCAGGGAACGCGCCGACAGAAAATCAAATTCCCGATTTTCGGGAATCGTGAATTCACGAAAATTTCGAATTCCCGATTTTCGTGAATCGTGAATTCACGAAAATTTCGAATTCCCGATTTTCGTGAATCGGGAATTCACGAAAATTTTGAATTCACGATTTTCGTGAATCGGGAATTCACGAAAATTTCGAATTCCCGATTTTCGTGAATCGGGAATTCACGAAAATTTCGAATTCCCGATTTTCGTGAATCGTGAATTCACGAAAATTTCGAATTCCCGATTTTCGTGAATCGTGAATTCACGAAAATTTCGAATTCCCGATTTTCGTGAATCGGGAATTCACGAAAATTTTGAATTCACGATTTTCGTGAATCGGGAATTCACGAAAATTTTGAATTCACGATTTTCGTGAATCGGGAATTCACGAAAATTTTGAATTCACGATTTTCGTGAATCGGGAATTCACGAAAATTTCGAATTCCCGATTTTCGTGAATCGGGAATTCACGAAAATTTTGAATTCACGATTTTCGTGAATCGGGAATTCACGAAAATTTCGAATTCCCGATTTTCGTGAATCGGGAATTCACGAAAATTTTGAATTCACGATTTTCGTGAATCGGGAATTCACGAAAATTTCGAATTCCCGATTTTCGTGAATCGGGAATTCACGAAAATTTCGAATTCCCGATTTTCGTGAATCGTGAATTCACGAAAATTTCGAATTCCCGATTTTCGTGAATCGTGAATTCACGAAAATTTCGAATTCCCGATTTTCGTGAATCGGGAATTCACGAAAATTTTGAATTCACGATTTTCGTGAATCGGGAATTCACGACCCAAAAATCGTCGGGAATTCACGATTTTCGGGAATTTTCGGGAATTCGGGAATTTTGCCTTTTTTGGGGGGATTAGAAGTAATTACTAGGGGTTAGATGTACAAGGGGTTTAAGAGATATAAGAGTATCAAGAATAAAGGGATTTGAGGTAATAAAGATGGATTGAGGGATATTAGGGCATTTGGAAAATTAAGAGTCATTAAGAGATAAATTGAATCTTCTAGCTTTCCAAATCACCAATATACAACTTTCATCTCTTGGGCCCTTGATATTCAGAGGATTCGAAGAGATATAGGAAGAACCAGATGGATGTGAGCCAGAAAGATGTGGATCAGTTGAAGCCTAGTAGAGGATGGAGTTGGGGATTAATAATGATATCGATGAAAGATCTGAGGGAGTATTAAGGAATTCAGGGGAGGATTAATTAGGTGCCGGAAAATGCGAATTCTTTCCCTTTCTCTCTAAATCTTTAGATCTTCTCATAATTATTCAATTTTCAGCGCCGCAGGCGAAAATTTTTTCAAATTTGGAGCTTAAGCAGCCAGATTTCTTCCATTTTCAGCGACGCAGGCAAAAATGTGAAGAAATCTTGAAGACCAGAAGCCAGAAGTGTTCCATTTTTAGCGCCGCAGGCGAAAAATTTGTGAATTTTTGCAGTCCAATTCACCATATTTCATCCTTTTTTAGCTCCCATAATTAATAAAAATTCCCGATTTTTTCCCGATTTTTAGAAAAAATGTCGTGAATCGGGAACGTGAATTCACGAAAATTTCGAA